AACAAAAATAAATTTTATTATAATAAAATAGAGTACAAATGGTACTTTACCTATAATTAAATACACTATACACAATCATCAGTTACATCTATATTGCAATAAGTTAACTCCGACAAATCCAAAAAAAGACCCCTGTAACTAGCTATTTACCCGTACAACATGAACCTTGTTCAAGAACTGTTTTACACAACTTTTATTCCTTCTAACAACTAAAGCACATTCAAGTGGTTTTGATTGCCAATCATAAAAGGAAAAAACACATCTCTGCACCCTTTGCTTAATCCATGCAAATAATTTGCCTTGCACTGCAGCTAGCACCTACTGCCCAAAACTCCTCTCATTGTGAAACATTGTGCTGTTCCTCCCGTACCAAAGATATCAACATTTTTTTTTTTTTGAAAAGCAAAGGTAATGTTTATTAAAACAAAGTACAATGGGTATCCCAAACCTGTAAACATCACAGTTTGAAAGGCAAAGATTTACATAGTCAAATAACCCTTTCGTTCGGTGGCGACACGTATTTTATGTGTCAACACCAAGTCCGTGTAGGAGATTTGGGAGCTCAGTTCTTCGTTTGGTGTCGACACCCTAATAAAGTGTCGACACCACAACCGTGTCGGGTTTCAGAATGCTCAGCCCTTCCAGAATACCATAACCTCCCTTGTTGATATTTTTGGCTCTGGATTTCCTTAGTTGCATTTCTGGTACCTTTCAACTGTTTCTAGCCTGCTTGTATTCTTCAGCCTCCTCACATCCTTCCTTGATGCTGTGGTAGCTACTATCCCAATGAAAATACCAAGATACCAGTAAAAAAATACAAGAACCCATCTCTCTTCCTATATTCCTTCTTAAACCAAATATAAACACCTCAGCCAACCCACTCACAGTATTTGGCAATACTCCCTCCAAACCCCCCACCACTTTAACACCTTCATCCATACCATCCACAATTCTCTACACGTGCAAAATAAATGGCTACACTCCTCCATCTGCTCCTTACATAAACCACACAGTATCTACTCCCCTTGCAAAATCACCTCTCTGCTTCGTAAATTACCTTTTGTGGCAAGCCCATTTAAACATAACCTCCAACCAAAACAATTGACCTTTGAAGGAACAAATTTGCACCATATCAACTTACACTCCTATTCATCAAGAATTCCTTCACTAGGACCTAAAATGGCATAAGCCTTCTTAACAACGTAAATTCCATCCTCATCATGTATCTACTTCCATTTATCTTCCCTACCCTCCCTTATATGCACACTACCTAACAATTCTCACAACTCCTCTTCTTCATTAATCTTTCTACCCATTCTTTGCCTTCGCCAACCCAACTTCTATCTCTAACAGCCTCCTTACCACCCCCCATCTGCTGAATTTTGTCATCCTTATTTATTGCCAACTCAAATAATCTAGGACACATGTCTCTTAATGTTTTATTACCAACCCAATTCTCCTTCCAAAAACCCACCTGCTTACCATCTCCCACTTCCCACCTAAACTCCTTCACCAGCACATCTCTAAGCTTATTTGATCTCCTACCAATAGTCAAGATATCCTTTTAAATTCTAGATAAATATAAACCCTCCACTATAGTAATATCCACCTCCTCCTTCCCCCAATAATATTTATCCCATAACACTAGTTTTCATAACCCCAATGACCCATCACCTAATCTATACCACCACTTCCCAAGCAAAGCCCAATTCCTTCTGCCTAAATCATGTATCCCAAGGCCCCCCCTTATTCTTGCTATAACAAGCAAAATCCCATTTAACTCAAGAAATTTTCCTTCTAAGCCCAGCTGTCCCATAAAAAATCCTGTTGTATTCTGATATATAATTAATCAATTAAGGGATTGAGTAAAATTAAGACATTTTTATAATTAAAATGTTTAAAATAACAAAAATAATAAAATTAAAATACCTTCAATGAATTAATATAAAAAAGATTTGTTAAAAATATTTAAATAATTTTATATGAAGTTTTGACATTTAAATTGTTAGAACGTCTTAATTTTTACTTTTCTCATCAATTAATGCCATCTTTGTTTTTTTCTTTTCTCTTTTTTTTTTTTTTTTTTTTTT